ACGTTATGAAAGTATGGAAAAACAAAAATATCCTAACATATAAATAAAGTTCCTCCGAGGCTGTCAGGAGGAGATGCTTGCAACCTGATCCTGTGTCTGTGTCTCCTCATTCGCCGACGCCATCCTTTCCTACGAGAGACCCACCCCGGCTGGAGCTGGACTCCGGCAGGGTGCCTAGGTGGCTCAGGCAGTGACTCTTGATTTTGGCTCAGGTCATGATCTCAGGGTCATGAGACAGAACCCTGCATGTTGGGCTCTGCACCTGGGTGTGGAGCCTGCTTAAGATTCTCTCTCCCTCTCCCTCTGCACCCCCCCCCCCCAAAGAATCTAGATAGAGGATCTGTTCTAGAAAGGGAGCTATAGCGACAGATAACTATAGTACAACAATCTAGGTGTGGCAGACAGAGGAACTTAGCAAAATCTGTTAAAATTCTTTTTTGTGTCCCATTGTTTCTGTATGGCCTGGCAAACATTTGTTTACAAAACATTTGCTCTTTTTCAATTTCTTGTGAATTGCCTGCCTTCCCTTTGAAGCCCCAGACCCCTACCCCCTTCTCCTTAGTCCAGAATGACATATATACGTCATTTTTCCTGTTTTTGAAATCTCTCGTTTTGTGGATTCCCCATATGTACATAATTAAATTAGATTTTTCTCCTGTTAATCTGTCTTATGTCAGTGTAATTCTTAGACCAATTAAAAAACCCTTGAAGCATAGAGAGAATTTTTCTTCTCCAATATGCTCTTACCAAGTGGTCTGTGCTAGGAATATGGACCTTGAGAGCTTGTTTGGAGGTTCTAGCAGGGAGCGCAGCTACTCGTATACCCTTGACAGAAGAACGGTCCTCCTCTATCGGGGAAGGTCATCCTCTTCGACCGAGCGTGCAGCTTCAGGAGGGACGCACATGGAGCGGTGAGGGAGGAAGGGGACACCCGCCTAGCTAGCCAGATCAGCCGAATCAACCCTGGCGATCAATGGGGTGACAGATGTCGCAGCCAGATCGCCCTCACATCCTGTGCTAGGAATATGAAGACAAAAAAAGGATCCTGTGCTTAAGGAGCTTACTTTCAGTAGAGGGTGAGAGACAAGTAAGCAAATAAAATGAATAATGTATTCTTCACTTTCCACTAAGATACTCCTAATGGCATAGAAGGGAAAACCCATGTCTCCCCGGAGTTTGGGGCATAACCTACATTAAGAGATTAATTTCTTTGAATTTCATCTCTTTAAAGTATTTATTTAAGTCCAATTAGTTGAGTGTAATATGAGTTTCAGGTGTACAATATAGTGATTCAACACTTCCATACACCGGCAGGTGCTCATCACAAGTGCTCTCCTTAATCCCCATCACCTGTTTCCCCATCCCCCCACCCACTTCTCTTATAATCATCAGTTTGTTCTCTATAGTTAAGCCTCTGTTTCTTGGTTTGGCTCTCTCTCGAATTTTATCTTTTAAAAGCCTTGCAAATTTTGCATTCCACACTACAATATAGCTCCACTTGTTTTTTTTGTTTGTTTGTTTTTACATATCATCCAACCAAGTGGGGTTTATTCTGGAAATACATGACTGATTCAGCATTTAAATATCAATGTAATGCATCATATTAATAGCCTTAATAAGAAACACTGCCAAAAAATTGGATAAAATTCAATATCTAGTCATGATAAAAACTCTCAACAAACTAGGAAGAGAAAGGAACTTCCTTAACCTGATAAAGGACAAGTATAAAAAAACCTATAGTTTGGGGCCGCCTGTATGGCTCAGTCGGTTAAGCGTCTGCCTTCGGTTCAGGTCATGATCCCAGAGTCCTGGGAATGAGCCCTTAAGCGGGCTCCTTGCGGGGAACCTGCTTCTCCCTCTCTCTCTGCCTGTCACTCCCCCTGCTTGTGTGCTCGTGCTCTCTGTCTGTCAAATAAATAAATAAAATCTTTAAGAAAAAAAAGCCTATAGCTGGTATCATACTGCATGGTTAAAAACTGAATGTTTTCCCCTTGAGAAGGACAGGTAAGGATGTCTCCTCTTATTCAATATCCTATTGGAAATCCTATATAGTGTGACAAGGCAAGAACAAGAAATAAAAGGCGTAAGAATTGGAAAGGAAGAAATAAAACGGTTCCTAGTTACAGGTGCCAGTCAGGCCTCCCTCTGGAAGAGGTCTTCAAATTGGCGCATGGGGGAGGGGGAGCCTTGGAGTTGGGCAAAGCCAGGCCTGCCTAGTGAATGGCTTGCACATTGGGGGGAGGGGGGAGGTTAGGAGGTTGGGGGTGGGGAACAGAAGACAACTCCTAGAGCACAAGGAGCACAGAGAATCCACCAGAAGGAGCCGCCTCCATTTCAGGCCCAGCAGGTAGATGGAGCTGGTGACAGTCACTCAGTGGGGACACCGGGAGGGCTGTGTCTTATTGCTGAGAATGGGGACGTAGCCCTCGGTGCTGCTTCGCTTCTTGAGTTTAACAGACACGGCGCGGCGGGGAGCTTTAATGGAAGACCTCAAAGTCACAGTTGGAGTTGTGGATGAGGACGGGGATGGGGGCAAAACGGATCAAGAACCGGCTGCTCTTTCCTGCTTCTCTGTCTCCTGCGTCTGCGGAGGGGCGGAGGCCGGCGTCCTGTAGGTGACCCGGGTGGCACACGGTCCCCACACTCGGTGAGCCGCCTGTGCTCGCTCAGTAGGGCGCCCAGTCCCCGCTGCAGTCCCCGCCCGCAGGGCCCTAGAGCAGCCGCTAGACCCCGCGCCCAGGCCTGGGAGGCTGGCGGAGCATCCCGTTTATTTAAACATGTACACTTTTTCAGCCACAGGCTGCCTGGAGAGGGGTAGTAATGTAGTGGTAAAACGCAAGATTTGTATTCAAGCTCTGGTGACTTTTTTTTTTTTTTTAAAGATTTTATTTTTATTTTTTATTTTTTTATTTATTATTTTTTTTAAGGTTTTATTTATTTATTTGAGAGAGAGAGAATGAGAGACAGAGAGCACGAGAGGAAGGAGGGTCAGAGGGAGAAGCGGACTCCCTGCCAAGCAGGGAGAAGCTCTGGTGACTTCTAATCGTGACCGCTCTACCGCTTCCCAGCTCCTCTTTCCTGTTCCTCTTCGCAAAAGTAGTGCCCCTTCTGATCACCTTCTCCTGTTCTCCAAATCTTTACAAGGGCTTCTCCAGTCCGCGTGGTTAAGTTCGTTCTCCCCTCTCTTACAACGCCCCGGATTCTGATCATTGGTACATTTTCTCCCTGCAACTTTTCCTGCCTCTCTAGTTCAAGAGTTAACTCGCTAAATTCTACAGGCCTCTTCTAACCGCCAGCTCTCTGCCTTTGTTCTGCCTGGAATCGCCGGCTGCCAATCAACAGAGGACGCAGACCTCTCGAGCGAGGGAACTTGGACAGAATGGCCAGGCGCACTGGGCTCAGCGTAAACAAGTGACCTCTTGTTCTCCAAAGCTCTTGACAGACCAGGAGGAAAAAGGATCAGCTCTTCTACTATCTTTGTTGTATGATACCTACACTACTGCCTGGGTCCAAATACAAGCACTTTGCATTATAGGACAGCACAGGGAGCGGAAGGCGAGGGCGACGAGGGTTCTTACAAGAGGTCGAAAAATAAGATCCTTGCCGCTAAGTGAAACTTTCAAAGACTAAGAGCAACACTTCCCTCTCCCTCCCTCTTCTGTAGCCTTTTTCCCCTCCCCCCTCCTTCCCCAGACCTGCGCTGTCCAATAGAAATGGAAGGCCTTGTGGAATCACTATGTTGTACACCTGAAATTGATGTAATATTGTGTGTCAGCCACGCTTCAATGAACATATTTAGGATAAGTCCACCTGGCATTCTCTAGGATGTGATTATTGTGGTTTTCTTTTTTTTTTTTGTGGGTGTGTGGTTTTCTTAAGGTGATTTTATTTTATTTTATTTTTAAAGATTTTATTTATTTATTTGAGACAGAGAGAATGAGAGAGAGAGCACATGAGAGGGGGGAGGGTCAGAGGGAGAAGCAGACTCCCTGCCGAGCAGGGAGCCCGATGCGGGACTCGATCCCGGGACTCCAGGATCATGACCTGAGCCGAAGGCAGTCGCTTAACCAACTGAGCCACCCAGGCGCCCTCTTAAGGTGATTTTAAAGATTTTTCAGATTATCATTGAATCATAATAAACATATTCTGCTTAAGGCATGAATGTAAAATAAAAGTTGTGTCTCCCAGGTAGGAATGATGCCAGAACTTATTTCACATTGAGCGATATATGTATCATCACAGACAACATAAAAATACCGAATAGCTGAACTGGTTAATTGGTAACACTGCATGGCTTTGTTTTGCTGTAGTATTTTTGCAGAATTTATTTATATTAAAAATTGCTTTAACGAATAAAAAAAGAAATATAATGCGAGCCACGTGTCATTTTAAACGTTCTAGTAGCCACGCTTTATTTTTACTTATTTATGTTAAAGTAGGCTCCACGCCCAACATGGGTTTGAACTCATGATCCTGAGATCTAGAGGCCGGTGCTCTACGGATTGAACCAGCCAGGCGCCCCTAGCAGCCACACTTTAAAAAGAAACAGGCGAGGGGCGCCTGGGTGGCTCAGGCATTAAGCGTCTGCCTTCGGCTCAGGTCATGATCCCAGCGTCCTGGGATCGAGCCCCACATCCGGCTCCATGCTCTGCGGGAAGCCTGCTTCTCCCTCTCCCACTTCCCCTGCTTGTGTTCCCTCTCTCGCTGTGTCTCTGTCAAATAAATAAATAAAACATTTTTAAAAAAAGAAACAGGTGAATTAATTTTTTTAAAAGATTTTATTTATTTATTTGAGAGAGAGAATGAGAGACAGAGAGCACGAGAGGGAAGAGGGCAGAGGGAGAAGCAGACCCCCTGCTGAGCAGGGAGCCCGATGTGGGACTCAAGCCCGGGACTCCAGGATCATGACCTGAGCCGAAGGCAGTCGCTTAACCAACTGAGCCACCCAGGCGCCCAGGTGAATTAATTTTAACAATGTTTTATTTAACGCAACTGACCCAAAATATTACAATTTCAATATGCAATCAATATAAAAATGCAGAGGTTTGCATTCTTTTTTCCAAGCAGTCTCTGATACTGGGTGTGCATTTGACACTTACGGAACATTAATTTTGGACTGGCGGCATTTCAAGCGCCTAATACCCACCATCCTGGACAGCTTGGCCCCGGAATTCCCCCTCGTTCCCCTTCTTGTCCCACCACCCCGCAGGAAGAAGTGAAGATGGTGGGGGGGCGGTAACACTGCTACTTTGGGACTGAGGCAAACTCGGGGAGGACACCACCCTGTGAAGTTGTGATGCTGCGATGCTGAGACCTCTCAGCCAACCTCCCCTGCCCCCCTCCCCCGCTCAGCGAGGAAGCTCCTACCGCAGGAAAGCGCCAGGCTGCGGGTGGGGGATGGGGGGAGTGGGAGAGGTGGGGGGGGAGGTGGAAGACGCCGCGCAGAGCCGCACGCATGCGTACTGCGCGCGCTCATAAACGCAGCCTGGCGCCCTAGCAACGGGTTCCAAGCCACTGTCTCGTCGGAATAAGTGGCTTTCCCCGGAGTTCTAGTCCCACCAGTCGGTCTCGGCTTGTCCCCATCCACGGTTCTTTCTTATCATTTCCGTTTCTCCCCTCCACTGGTTCGATCTCGCTCTCGCCCGAGCCCTGAGCCGGGCTCCCGAAATGAGTACTCGTGGTTTCCGCGTGGGAACCAACCCTTGCCGCCTCAGGCTCGCCCTCCCCGGGCTGAGGTGGCTGCTGGGGCTGTTCCTGGGGCTTCACGCCACCCGCAGCGCGGCCTTCTACCTCCCCGGGTTGGCTCCAGTTAACTTCTGCGAGGCGGCCCGAGAGACTGCAACCTGCAAGGTGAGGACCAGTGGGAGAGGCAGTGAGATGTGAGGGGAAGGCTTCGGGTAGGGGTATGGGGCACACTGGGGGAGACCACGGTCGCGAGCTCTTCTGCCTCCGACCCAGAATGCCAAAGCCCTCTCTGTGGGTGTGTGTCTCGTCGTCTCTAACTCTGAGCCTCGCGCTTGGAGGATCCGGACCTCTCTTTTTCTCAGATTCTCTTTCCCTCTCTTTTGGCTCCTCCCCTTACTCTCCGTTCGTCCAACTCCCGCTCAGCTCTTCCTCCGTCCTCATAGCTCCTCCTCCTCCCCCGTTTCTCTTGGCTCCCTCCCTTTCATCTCAGCTTTTCCTCTTCTCCTCCCTCTCCGCTCCGCCCCGCCCTTCCCCACTTCCGTCTCAGCTCCTCCCCTTCCCCTCAGCCCCTCCCCTCCCTCTCAGTTCCGCCCCGCCCTTCCCCACTTCCCTCTCAGCCCCTCCCCTCCCTCTCGGCCCCGCCCCGGCGTCTTGGCCTTCCGCCTCTCTTCCCCTTAGCCCCGCCCCTTCGTTACGCTCTCCCCTCTAGGTCCCGCCCCTTCTGCCTGACTCCACCCCTCCCTCTTTCTCTTCCCTCTGGGCTCGCCCTCTTGCTTCCTCCTTTCTGGGCGGCTTCTCCACCGCACTTCTTAGCTCCTTCTGTTCCTCCTTCCTCTGAGCTCCTCCCTTTCCTCCCTCCCTATTGGCTGCTCCTCCACCTTTCTTAGCTCCTCCTTTTCTGTCGCAGTTCCTTTTCTTCTTCCTCCTTGGCTCTTTCCCTCTCTCCCTCCCTTTCCGATTGTCCTCCTTGTACTCTCTCCCTTTCAGGACTCACACACTCACTGTGGTTTTTTTTTTTCTTTCTAGTTTTTATTTAAATTCCAGTCAGTGCACATACAGTGTTAAATTAGTTTCAGGTGTACAATTTAGTGATTGAACACTTCCATACAAAGACCGGGAGCTCATCGCAAGTGCGCTGCTTAATCCGCATCAGCTCTTTCATCCGTCCCCCCACCCACCTCACTGTGGTCTTAGATACACCCCTACCATGTTTCCTTTCTGTCATTCTTCACTCCTCTGGTCTCCTGCTTTTTACCTCTTTAATTCTTGTCAATGTACTTTTGTCTCCCCTGGGCCCTTTACCTGCAAACACCAAGATCTTATTTACCTCTCAGACTTGTGAGAATAAAATGAGACAATGAATGAAAAGCACTGACAACTGTACCTGGCGCTTAGTAAGCTTTCCATAAATGGTAACTATTGTCATTATTAGCTTTCTTTAGGCAGAGATTTCTTTTTTTTTTTTTAAAGATTATTTATTTATTTATTTGAGAGAGAGAGAATGAGAGACAGAGAGCATGAGAGGGAGGAGGGTCAGAGGGAGGAGAAGCAGGCTCCCCGTCGAGCAGGGAGCCCGATGCGGGACTCGATCCCGGGACTCCAGGATCATGACCTGAGCCGAAGGCAGTCGCTCAACCAACTGAGCCACCCAGGCGCCCCTCTTTTTTTTCTTTAAAGTTTATTTAAGTCATCTCTACACCCAACTGGGGCTCGAACTCAAGACCCCAAAATCAAGAGTCGCATGCTCCTCCCACTGACGCAGCCAGTCGCCCCTGGGCAGAGATTTCTGACCCAATTCCTCTTCTGTGTGTTCCTCAACACCCAATAATTTTCTGACTCCTTTCTTTAGCAGCTTGGTTTCTGTAACTGTAAGCTGAGTCCAAAAAAGGTGTGTTTTTTTTTTTTTTTGTAAGTAATCAATTCAAAATATATTAAAGAATAAGACTTGGGCGCCTGGGTGGCTCAGTCGGTTAAGCGTCTGCCTTCAGCTCAGGTCATGATCCTCAGGGTCCTGGGATCCAGTCCCGCATCAGGCTCCCTGCTCAGTGGGGAGCCTGCTTCTCCCTCTCCCTCTGCTGCTCTCCCCTGCTCATGTTCTCTCTCTCTCTCTCAAAAATAATAAAAAAAAAAAGAGTAAGACTTAATTTTCGGACTCCTCATTGGATGGGGGAGCGTTCTGGCATAAGGCACCACAAAGGCACTGGGAAGTTGAGAACAGTGCTGGGTGTGGTTTAACTATAGACTTAACCAACTTGAAAGTTCCAGGGTTTTTTAAAGGCCAGTTTTAGGGGTAGCAAGTTTGCTCTTAAAACCTGGAACTTGCCTTTTCCTGTGTGAAGTTTTGATAGTAATGTTTTGAGCCAACATCTTGCCAAACACATGTAATGTAAGAAATGGCATTTACAAAATATTTTTATGTCTGCCTTTTCTCTGGTAATACCTCATCCTGGATCTCTCTATTTCATCAGGCTTCCTAGCAAAGAAACATGATCTTTAACCATAACAAATGTCTGGAACTTCTTTTCCATAAGCTCTTTTCTTTTTAGGCTGTTATTGCATCCCTACATGTGTTCTACTTTTTATTCTGAGATTTCATCTTCTGTCTTTTGGTGAGTCTCTCATTTTTAGGTTTAACACTCTAAACTTACTTCATTTGGTAGCATCCAGCCCCTTGATTTTTTTTTTTTTTTTTTAGTTTTAAAATTTTTGCTATTACAAAAGCAGTAGCATGCATCATACATGGTTAGAAAATGCAGGTAGGCAAAAAATAAGAAAAACATTTCTAATAACTAGAGAATTACCACTCTTGATATCTTAGCATATATTCTAGATTTTTTCCTACACATACTCATACCCGCATGTGTATTTTTAATAGACTTTTTAGATTTTTTTAGAGCAGTTTTAGGTTCACAGCAAAATCGAGCAGAAAATAGAGTTCCCATATACCCCTACTCCCGCACATGCATAGCTTTCTTCATCGACATCCCTCACCAGAGTGTTACATTCCTTACAGTTGATGGACCTAGATTGACACATCATTCCCACCCAAAGCCCATAGTTCATATTACACTTCACCCTTAGTCATTCTGTGAGTTTGGAGGAATGTGTAATGACATGTATCCATCATTATAATATCATATAGAATAATTTCACTGCCTTATACATTCTCTATGTTCTCTGCTATTCATCCACCCCTCTCTTAATCCCTGGCAACCACTGATCTATCTACTGTCTTCATAGTTTTGTCTTTTCCAGACTGTCATATAGTTGGAATCCTACAGTATGTAGACTTTTCAGACTTGCTTCTTTCACTTAGTAATATGCATTTAGGGTTCCTCGGTGTCTTTTCATGGCTTAATAGTTCATTGCTTTTCAGTTTTGAATAATATTCCATTATCTGGATGTACCACAATTCATTTATATATTCACCTACTAAAGACATCTTGGTTGCTTCCAAGTTTTCACAATGATGAGCAAAGCTGCTATAGACATTGTGCAGGTTTTCGTGTAGACTTATCTTTTCAACTCCTTTAGGAAAATACGAAGGAGTATCATTGCTAGATTGTATACTAAGAGTATGTTTAGTTTTTTAAGAAACTGCCAAGCTGTCTTCCAAAGTGGCTATATCATTTTGCATTCCCACTAGCAATGAATGAAAGTCCATATGCATTTTTTACCGACATAAAATCGTGGTATTCATGTTATTTTGTAACCTGCACTTTTCTTTCTTTTTTAATCAATATCTTGTTTCTTTCCTTTTTTAAAAAAGATTTTAAAAATTTATTTGTGAGAGAGAGAGAGAGCACAAGCAGAGGGAGCAGCAGGCAGAGGGAGAAGCAGGCTCCCTGCTTAGCAAGGAGCCCCATGCAGGACTGGATTCCAGGATCCTGTGATCATGACCTGAGCCTGAGCCGAAGGCAGATGCTTAACCATTCCATAACCTGCACTTTTCTATTAACAACTCTATCTTTCCACATCAATACATTTTTATCTCATGTATTACCAAGTTCATAGTCAGATTTCCCTAGTTATCCCTGAAATAACCAAACCAGAATCCAATCTAGGACCACAAATTGCATCTCTTTATTGTAGTCTATGGTTCTTTGAATCAAGCACAGTCCCTGCTTTTTTTTTTTTCATAACATTAACTTATAAAAGGGATCAGTCTGTTTTTCTTGTGCAAGTCCTCCTGGACTTGTCTCTTTGCTGCCTTTTGATGGCATGTAGATTGGTTTAATAGTTAAACTTGAACCCTTTGGAGAGTAATTTGAAATATATATCAAAGTCTACAAAAATGTTCATCCCCTTGATTGTAATGATCTCACTTAGAATAATATACAAGGATATGGACAGATAAGAGGTTTTTCTCTGTGAAGGTCTCATCTACCTGGGTCTTTTAGTCACATAGTACCCCTCCCTGGAGAGCACCAATATCATCAGTTTCTCATGTATCCTGCTAGGGATTTCATGAATAAATGAACAAATAAGTATTTATATCATTTTTGCCTTTTTTTTTTTTTTTTTTACACAAATGGGAGCATACTGTTCTCATCTTCAGGTGCCTTTATCATTTAACAATATAGCTTAGAGATCATTTTATATCATTGTATAAAGAACATCCGTGTTCTTTTTTAATGGTATAGCATTCTATTATAAGGATGTGCTATACTTAATTTACATAGTCCCTTATTTATGTATTTAGCTTGTTTCTATTCTCTTGATCTTACCAAACATTGTTGCATATGAGAATATCTATAGAATAAATTCCTAGGACTGGAATTGCTGGGTCAAAGAATATATGCACTTAACAATTTTGATATCCTCAAATTGCTTTCCATGGAGGTTGCATTAATTTACACTCTTAAATCAGGAAACTAGTCCCTTGTCTGTGACATCCTTTTCCCAAGTTTGTCAGTTGTCTTTTGGTTTTGCTTATTGTGTTTTGTTTTTGCTTTTGTTTTTTCACCATTTAGAAAAATTGGCTTTTATTCTAATATATCAAAAATTTTTTTGGTTTCTGACTTTTTTGCCCTGTTTTGAAAGGTCTTAACCAAGCCAGCCAAGATTATAAAATAATTCTCCCATGGTTTCTTCTATTATTTTTATGGTTTAAATTTTATGGTTTAAATTTTAACAAATAAGATTGAGATTTCCTGGTGTAATGTATGAGGTAAGTATCCAGCTTAACTTTTTTCCCCCTAGATTGCTGACCAGTTCTCTTAACAGTATTATTGAAGAATTTATCTTTTCTCCACTTGATTTGTGAAACCATTAAGATTCTTTTAATTATAGTAAGCTCCAGATATGCATTTTAAAATATAGTTCAAATCTTATATACGTTGTGTTTTGGGATTCTAGATGAGAGCTATTATCCTTAATTATCTGCTGTCCTTTTAGAAACTTTTCTCTGGGGCACCTGGGTGGCTCAGATGGTTAAGCGTCTGCCTTCGGCTCAGGTAATGATCCCAGGGTCCTGGGATCGAGCCCCACGTTGGGCTCCTGGCTCAGCGGGGAGTCTGCTTCTCCCTCTTCCTCTGCTTCTCCCACTGCTCATGCTCTCTCTCTATATATATCTCTCTGTCTCAAATGAATAAATAAAATCTTTAAAAAAAAATGAAAAAAGAAAAAGAAACTTTTCTCTGTTCACCTTTATAAAACTCTGATATATGTTGCTACTGCTAAATTTCTGATTAGATTTCATTAAGTGCAGATACAATACTCTTACAGAGTTAGAGTAAGGTTGTTTATATTTGTTGCCAAACTTGATGATTTCCTACATCCTCTTTAAAAAAAAAAACAAAACTAACCATGTGGTAAAGATGATAGCAGATGTTCAATTAAAAAAACAGTTTATGGAATTTTGAACAAGAATAAAGTGTTTACCCAAGTTCTGCTGTTCTAGTGGTTTTAAAAATCCTATCTTGGGCACCTGGGTGGCTCAGTCAATTAGGCGTCTGACTCTTGATCTCAGCTCAGGTCTTGATCTCAGGATTGTGAGTTCAAGTCCCGTGTTGTGCTCCACGCTGGGCATAGAGCCTACTTAAAAAAAATCCTATCTTGTAAATTATCAACAACACAGCTGAGATCCAGGGAAGTAAGCAGAAGTATTCTGTGAAAAGCCAGAATAGATGTCCTAATGTTCATGCACTAACTCTCATGCTCTCAGCCTTTTTGATATAGTTTTAACAAATCTGTGATTTATTCCACAAATTGAGGGCTTGCTCTCTAGCAGATTGGGGGTGGGGAAGAAGGGAGAAGAGGCATCTCAACAACTGACAATTGAAAAGAAAGACCTAGGGCGCCTGGGTGGCTCAGTTGGTTAAGCGACTGCCTTCGGCTCAGGTCATGATCCTGGAGTCCCGGGATCGAGTCCCGCATCGGGCTCCCTGCTTGGCAGGGAGTCTGCTTCTCCCTCTGACCCTCCCGACCCTCCCCCCTCTCATGTGCTCTCTCTCTCAGTCTCTCTGTCTCAAATAAATAAATAAAATCTTTAAAAAAAAAACCCCTAAAATCTACACAAAGAAGTTGAAGTTCTTTGGTAGGGGTGAGAGATGTGGGTAGCATCTATCGCAATGTAGTTTTGGGGCAAATAATTCTCACTTAGTTTGATACTGAGAATGTCACAGAGTCCAAGCTGGTGCAAGGATTGATGTTCAAAATGACCCTGAGCCATCAAGGAAGGTTGAATTGTGATCACCGTGTTCTGTTTAAGATAGGAAAGAGTGAAGTGTATTTTAGAATGATTCTTACAAAAACGGCTAAAATAATACAAGGAGAGCTCTTATGCAGGTAGATTTAATTATCTCAAGTTCTTAACCCGAATTCCGTGGACTCCAGGGGCCCTATGAAGCCTCCTAAACCTGAACAGAGACTTTGGTGAATATGTATGCTTTTTTGAGGAGAGGGGCCATAGCCTTCATCACATTCTCAAAGGGTTCTATAATTAAAAAAGGTTAAGAATGGCTGAGATATCTGAAAAATTTATGTATTCAGAGAATCCAATGATGCCACCTAAATGAAATGTTATGAATTTATAGCTATACTGTGTTAAAAATTTATAACTGTATTGTTATACATTTCTATCACTGTCCTAAGTTATAAATTTATAATTGCACAGTTATAAATTGATGGGAGCAGTAGACCCAATTACCTTTCAGTTACTTCATTATGTATTTTGCAAGTGCTACCTTGTTTTATTTTGTATTATTAATGAGTGTTTTCTTTCCTTTTTGTAGTCATCAATAGCACTATTTGTAAATAGATTGGACTCAGAAGAATCTGTCCTACCTTATGAATATAATACGTAAGTTATAAGTATTATCTCTGATATAATTGCGGTTACATTATAATTATGATATTATTGTGTTAAAAGTGTGTTTTAAGCTTTTAAAGATAGTGGATGAAAGCCCTGGATATATTAAGAAATACAGTGGTAATTTTGTAATAAAGGTAACAGGAACAAAATGATTAAAATAGAGAGCTTTCAGTGTGAGGCAAATGCTTAAAAATTTAGGAAGTTGCCATACTTGATTTTTCTAAGAAAAGCAAATTATAAAGTTACTATATTTTGAACTTTAAAAAAATCATTGCAGAGTTGTAGTTTATTTTTAAAACATGGGATAGGGAGGTTTCTACTAAGGTTTTTATTTTTATTTTTATTTTTTTAAAAGATTTTATTTATTTGACAGAGAGAGACACAGCGAGAGAGGGAACACAAGCAGGGGGAGTGGGAGAGGGAGAAGCAGGCCTCCCGCCGAGCAGGGAGCCCGATGCGGGGCTCGATCCCAGGACCCCGGGACCATGACCCGAGCTGAAGGCAGATGCTCAACGACTGAGCCACCCAGCTGCCCCTCTACTAAGGTTTTTAATGGATGCCAAGTGCTTAGTTCAGTAGTGAGCTGGTATCACATAATCAAAATTAAGATCAATCATTTTGAGAATAGCAACAAATGATATACGTTTTAGAAAAATGATTGTAGCTCGCTTTGGTATTACTTTATTTCCACTAATTAAACAGAAGTAAAATCAGATCTAATTTTCATTAAAATACCAGGTTTAAATGTAGGGTGTTAGCAGGAGCATTTAAAATATTATGCAAGCCTACCATTGATTTTATCGTCTGCCATTTTATATTCAATTTTATATATTCACATTTACTTAAAGGTAGTTGTAATTCTTTTCATGTAGTAACCATTTGATTTGTGAGTGAATCTGTGGGCATGTATTTGAGGAGGGAATTTGTTGTTTAAGTTCCCCTTTGATCAGAACTGATAACAGCAGTTTCTAAATGTCTCAGGTTAGAATTAGTACAGATTTTAAACTATTCTTTGCTTATTTTATGTAATTTGAAGATTAACCCTGAAAATAACTGTTAGTTTTTTTAAGATTGTGATTACCTACATTACAAAAGCCAAGAGCAGTACCATGAGCATTTAAAATAATGAATTCTTAGTTATAAGAAGTTAAACAATTTAAAAAGAAATCTATAATGAGGTCTATAAATCATAATTAGACACCTTCTGGGTCATGTTTTTAGAAGTATCTACCATTAACAGTGGAGAGGCTTGACAAATTACAAAGATGTATTTCTTTGCTGAGATGTATATATATGTTTTTACCTTACTTGAACTTCTCCTCTAGCTTTGACTTCTGTCAAGATTCTGGAAAGAAAAACCCTTCTGAAAATCTCGGCCAAGTACTATTTGGAGAACGAATAACATCATCCCCCTATAAGGTTATTCAGGTCTTATTTAATATTATTTTAAATTGAATCTTCTCAGAACTGGCTACTTAAAATTGTAGCAAAGAGTCTGTTTTATTTTTTATTTTTAAAAATTTTATTTATCTGACAGAGACATAGCGAGAGAGGGAACACAAGCAGGGGGAGTGGGAGAGGGAGAAGCAGGCTTCCTGCCGAGCAGGGAGCCCGATGCGGGGCTCAATGGGGGGCTCGATGCGGGGCTTGATCCCAGGACCCTGGGGTTATGACCTGAGCTGAAGGCAGACGCCTAATGACTGAGCCACCCAGGCGCCCCAAAGAGTGTTTTAAAAGGAGGTAGAGAAAAAAGAAAGGAGATAGGATGTGGTGTTGCCAGAAGAATGCATGAGTATGTGGTCTTTGAACTATCTGCAGTAGGGAGTGATTCCACATAAAGATTTTGCCTTTCAAATTTTATTTTTGCTTAGTAAAGAAAAAGTTTACCTTATTGTCCCTGCATATTTTGGGTAGGGTGGAATAAGCAGATGTCATTGGACTGTCATTGTCTTATTGATTTTGCCTTCAATATCTTAATAGATAATGGGTATAGAGTAAGGATGTTTTCATAAGCAGTTATGATTATGAAGGCATTAACTTTTTTTCTTCTTTTTTCCAAATTCATTGACATCTACTTGAAGTACAATAAACTGCTCATATTGAAAGTGTATAGTTTGGGGGCAGCTGGCTGGCTCAGTCGGAGGTGCATGCGACTCTTGGTCTCGGGGTCGTGAGTTTAAGCCCCACGTGGGGTATAGAGATTACTTAAAACTTTTAAAAAAAAGTATGTAGTTTGCTCAATTTTAATTTATGTATACACTTGTGAAACCATCAGGCATTAACTTCTTTTAAAACTTTTTTTAAAGATTTTTATTCATTCATTTATTTTTTAAGATTTTATTCATTTGGGAGAGAGACAGAGCACAAGCAGGGGGAGAGGCAGGGGGAGAGGGAGAAGCAGGCTCTCCACTGAGCAGGGAACCTGATGTGGGACACGATCCCAGGACCCCGGGATTATGACCTGAGCCGAAGGCAGATGCTTAACTGACTAAGCCACCCAGGCGCCCCAAGACTTTTTATTTTGAAATAATGCTAGACAGGAAGCTACAAAAACCCCATGAACAGGGAGCTCTCATGTACCCTGTGCCCAGGTTTGCCCAATGATAGCATCTTGCATGACTGTAGTACAATAGCAAAACCCAGGAACTGACACTGGTACAGTGCACAGAGCTTATTCAGATTCCACTAGTTTTACATGCATTCACTTGTGTGTGTGTGAGAGGGAGAGGGAGAAAGAATGGGGGGAGAGGCAGAGGGAGAGAATCTTCAGACTTCTTGCTGAGTGTGCAGCCTGACCTGGGGCTCAGTCTCCCAACCCTGAGATCATGACCTAAGCCGAAACCAATAGCCGGATGCTCAACCGACTGAGCCACCCAGGAGCCCCTGTCTCCTCTTTTACCCATTTTCTATTTGGATTGTTTGTTCCTTTACTATTGAGTTTTCAGAATTCCTTACATATTCTAGGTGTGATTCCTTTGTTGCAACAGTAGTTTACAAATAGTTTTTTCCCAGTCTGTAGCTTTTGTTTTCATCATCATCTTTTTTTTTTTTTAAAGATTTTATTTTTAAATAATCTCTATACCTAATACAGGGCTCAAACTCATGACTCCGAGATTGAGAATAGTGTGCTCTACCAACTGAGCCAGCCAGGCACCTCTGTGTTTTCATCTTCTTAACAGAGTCTTTGACAGAGCAAACATTAATTTTTATGAGGTCCAATAATCAAATTTCTTTTTTATGGATTGTGTTTTTGGTGTCAAGTTTAAGGACACATGACATAGCTTTTAGGTCTTAAAGATTTTCTTTTATGTTTTCTTCTGACACTTTTATAATTACTTTATATATTTAAGTCTGTGATCTCTTTTGAGTTATTTTGTATAAGGTATGAGATTTGGATTGAAATTACTGGATTTTTTTTTTGTTTTTGCTTTTTGGCCTATAGATGTCCAGTTACTTCAGCATTATCTGTTGAAAAGACTGTCCTTCCTCCACTGAATTGCTTTTGCACCTTTGTCAAAAAAATCACACGGACATAGTTGTATAGATCTATTTCTGGGTTCTCTGTTGATCTATTTTTTTGGTCTGTGTGTCAGGCATTAGCTTTTCGATGATTAGAGTTGCACAAAATACCTCTGTGGAGTACCATTGTCCTAACAGAAAAGTGAACTTTTTCAAGAAATGCTGTCCCTTGGAATGAAGAACATGACAGTATAAGAAAAAGAAAGAAAGAAAGAAAGAAAGAAAGAAAGAAAGAAAGAAAGAAAGAAAGAAAGAAAGAAAGAAAGAAAGAAAGGTGACAGTGTTCTCAGCTGCCAATGGGGAACTTTTTGGTTAATATTTGTATGATTTCAGGATATGAGGTGCTAACTATAACTCTTTTTCATAGTTTATTCTTGTTCATTATTTCCTGATTAGTAACACCGGTACTTTATCCTGATAGCTAGACTTTGTAAATGAGAGGTTTCATATTAAAAGTATCAAATATTTTATTAACACTTTTTTGTTAACAGCTCTATTGAGAGATATTCACATACCAAGTAACCCACTTAAAGTGTCCATTTTTTTTTTAAGTAAGCTCTACACCCAACATGGGGCTTGAACTTACAGCTTGGAGATCAAGCGTTGCATGCTGTATTGACTGAGCCAGCCAGGCGCCCCTTGAAGTATCCAATTTAATGTTTTTTATTTATTTTTTATTTTTTAAAGCTTTTATTTATTTGAGAGAGAGCACAAGCAGGGAGGGAGTGGGCAGAGGGAGAAGCAGACTCCCCGCTGAGCAAGGAGCCCGATGCAGGACTAGATCCCAGGACCCTGTGATCATGGACTGAGCCCAAGGCAGATGCTTAACTGACTGAGCCAGCCAGGCGCCCCTCTGATGTAATGTTTTTTAGTATATTCAGAGTGTTGTGTGACTATCACTAAAATCAATTTTGTTACCACTTTTAAGTGAAGGGTTCTATATCAGGGTGGTTTTAGGAAGCTACAGTGGATGTTATATCCTACCTTCTATGTTATTGAAGAAGGCAAATTCTTCTGCTTAGTGGTGAAAGCATGTTGTGTATGTGTGTGTGTGCGTGTGCGTGTGTGTGTGTGTAGTGTAATCATTTCAGGTATGAATTGAAACTCAAAGGAGATAGTGTTGAGGATGATGGCATACTGAAGTCTCTGAGGAAAAGTTTTATCTGTAAGGTAAAGTACTTATTTTGTGATACTTGTTTTTATAAAATTTAGTCAAGTCTTTTACTATTTTCTTTCTTAACAGTTTTCTTTTAACAAGACAGAAACATGTAAAAAAGTTTGTGTAAAATCCTATGATAGAGAAAATGAGGACCACAAGAAAAAGCTGGCTTTTTTGAAGAAAGGAATACAACTAAATTATCAACATCACTGGTAGGTTTGAAATAACACTGAGATAACATGACTTAATTTTTTAAGTCCTTTCAGAAGTAGTTTTTTATTTTATTTTATTTTATTTTATTTTTCAGAAGTAGTTTTTTTAAAAAAAGTTGTTTTAATACTTGAAATTGTATACTATTTTTGTGACTTTGATTAAAAATTTTAAGTCCTTTCAGTAGTTTTTTAAAAAAAGTAGTTTTAATAGATATTTGAAATTATATACTATTTTTTGTGACTTTGATTAAAAATTTGAACTTAAATATATGCAAGATGATGTTGCTATTGCTTCATGTGAAATGCTTAAATCTTTTATTTTTAAAATATTTATATTTAGGATTATTGATAATATGCCAGTAATATGGTGTCACGTTATTGAGGATGGAAAGTACTGCACACCAGGATTTCCGATAGGATGTTTTATTACCAAAAGTGGCATAGTGAAAGATGCTTGCGCTCTCCACGTAAGTGTTGAGAACTTACTGTAGAAATATAAGTTGCTTATAATTTGCTTTCTATTATAATCACTTAGCAAACATTAATGGGACACCTACCATCTCCTAGGTTTTGGGCTAGGTGTTGGGAATACAAACTCAAGTAGACATGGTCTCTATCCTCTAGAAGTTCACAGTCCTGAGTAAGGAGATAGCCCTGTAGACAAATCAATACACTAAAATGTCCTATGATAGGAGATTAAGGGACAAGGAGGATATAATGGAGGGTATGAAAAAGTATATGTGAAATAAATGGGTGGGTGAGCATTTCTAGTAGGGAGATCAGTGTGATCAAGAGCTTAGAAGCCTGAAACAGGATGCTATGATTGGGGGACTGTGAGGAGTCGAACATGTCTGTGGGCATAAGTTTTGGGGTTTGGGTGGTAACAGCTAGAGATGAAGCTAAAATGGGAGGTAGGCAGAAGCCAGGTCATGGAGGGAGGTCCTGTGTGCAGTGGTAAGGAAAATTGTATCGATTGCCTCTAATGTGCCAGGAGCAATGTTATATTACTTTATACAGTGACTAATTTCATCCTTAGAACAGCCCTGTTGCTAGGATCTACTGCTGCCATTTTACAGATGATGAAACTCAGTCTCCGAGAGGCTGTGGCATGACTAGAGACATACAGCTGGTTAAGTGGCAGAAGTAGGACTCCAACTCAGATCTTTTTAGCTTGGAAGTCCCAGCCACACTGTTCTGCCTTGCGGTTCTCAGTCAGTGTCCTACTGGGCCCTAGACTAACAGGAGTGTCTTAGGGCTGCCATGGAGGATGACTAAGAGGCTGAATGGCCGTGAAAGAGCTCAACCAGGGCAGCACTGCCTTTAATCTGTTTTCTGTGTGGCGACTCAGTGTGGGTCAGCGATGGGGACAAAGGGGATGGGAGAAGGAAGAATATAGGATGACTGCCCAGTTTCTGGCTTGGTTGTCTAACTGATGATACTCTTAACTGTTTCTTTCCAGATAAAAGGGCAGTGCTTCTTAAATTTCACTCATTTATGCATCACCTTGGTGATTTTGGTCAAATCGGAGGCACCTATATTATTATTTATTAAATTTTTTTTGAGTTTATTTAGTTTTAGTAATCTCTACACCTACCTTGGGGCTTGAACTCAGGACTCCTAGATCAAGAGTCCACGTTCTTCTGACTGAGTCAGCCAGGTGCCCCTCAATTTTTTTTAAAGATTTTTATTTTTAAGTAATCTCTACACCCAACGTGGGGCTCGAACTTGCAACCCCGAGATCAATAGTCATATACTCTACCAACTGAGCCAGCTAGGAGCCCCATTATTATCTATTTTTGATAATCCATAACTTAAGTTTACTTAGAAAAGAAACTATAATATCCCAGAAAGTATAGGTTTAGTGCACTACTTATATTTTTAATTCATCAATTTCAAATATATAGATACAAAAGTAGAGTACAAATAGAGTACAGATTGTTTTTTCATCTGCTGCCTAAAATCATCTCCTATATCCCCAGTGATATGTATTCTTCACAATAGGAAACATTTAGGTAGGGAATATGGGAGGAGAAGCAACAAACAAATGCTTAATTGATAATTGATAGTTCTTTTAAAGTAAGGGAGGAGGGGCACCTGGCTGGCTCAGGTCATGAGTTGAAGCCCCATGTTGGATATAGAGATTACTTAAATAAATAAATAAACTTAAAAAATAAAGGAGAAGTGGCAGAAAAGAGGAGTTAATGAATAGGAGAAATTTTGATTAATATAGTCTGTGTTTGATAGCATATATGAAAGTGGATTCTTTGGGATGATGTAAAGACCACATTTTTGAAGGCCAAGTCTGTGAAGAATAAATGGACCCATAGAATGAAAGAGCTGCAGTTGGCCAGGGTAGCAGTAACTTTTATCAACATATGTACCTTCACCTCCCCCATGGTTGCAAAATGATACATGTTTATAAAAACCTCATACAACCCAGAGGTTTAAAGAGTACAAAGTGAGAATCTCTCTATAATCCACCTCAATTTTAATAGATTCTTTTTATGAGTACATCATTTCTTAATCTAAGTGGGATTATAAAATGTATATATATATTTCTGTAATCTGCTTTGTTTCTTTTAGAAGCTTATAATGGGCTTCTTTCCGTGGTCAATATCTATCTACCTACCTATCTATTCATATACAGATAGAATACAAGAACAAGAAAGTGTTTATGCTTTTTAGTAGTTTCATAATATTCCATTGTGTGGATGGAACATAATTTTTTAAAGGCTCTCTTTTTATTTCCATTTATTTTTAGAAGTTAATTTACTGGGGCACCTGGATGGCTCAGTCAGTTAAGTGGCCAACTCTTGATTTTGACTCAGGTCATGATCTCAGGGTGGTGAGATTGAGCCCCGCTCAGGCTCTGTCCTCAGGAGGGAGTCAGAGCCTGCTTAAGATTTTCTTCCTCTCCGTCTGCTCCTCCCCCTGCTGTGTGCTCTCTCTCTCTAAAATAAATAAATAAATCTTTAAAAATGAGTTTATTTTTAAGTAATCTCTACACCCAACGTGGGGCTCAAATTCATGACTCTGAGATCAAGAGTAGCATGCTCTACCAACTGAGCCAGCCAGATGCCCCATTTTTTCATTTTTTTGTAAAGATATTTTTTAAGTATTTACTTATTTATTTATGTAATCTCTACACCCAGTGTGACACTCAAACTCACAACCCTGAGATCAAGAGTCACATGCTCTTCCAACTGAGCCAGCCCCTGGAACGTAATTTTTTATCCACTTCACCAAAATTAGGTGTTTTCGATTTTTCTTACTTAATAATGCTGCAGTGAACATTTATTTTTTATTTTTAATAGCTGTTTTCTTCCTTTTTTAAGATTTTATTTATTGAGAGAGGGGAGAGCATATAGGAACAGGGGGAGGGGCAGAGGGAGAGGGAGAAGCAGACATGGGGCTCAATCCCAGAACCCTAGGATCATAACCTGAGCTGAAGGCAGATGCTTAACTGACTGAGCCACCCAGGTGCCCCTGTTTCCTTTTTTTTTAAATTGAAGTATAGTTGATACACAATGGTAACATTCTTATGTCTCTTTGAGTCTCATCTGTAAAATGGGAATAAGAGTAGTATATACCACATAGGGTTGTTGTGAGGATAGATAGGATACTACTTATAAAGTACTCAGAGGGACGCCTGGGTGGCTCAGTTGTTTAAGCATCTGACTTTGGCTCAGGTCATGATCCCAGGGTCCTGGGATTGAGCCCCAGTCACTCCACGCACGCTCAATGGGGAGTCTGCTTCTCCCCCTACCTCTCCCCCTCCCCCCACTCTCTCCACTCCCTCTACTCTTCCACTCCTCCACTCCTGCTCTCTCTCTCAAATAAATAAATAAAATATTAAAAAGTGCTTGGAGCTGTGTCTAATACATAGTAGGCACTCAATGAATGTTATTGTACAAACATCTGTGTACTCTTGTCTAATTATTACCTTAGGATAAATTCATATAAGGGTAATTGCTGAGTCAAAGGATATGGACTTTAAAAAAAGCCTTTTTGTTGCGAAATACAGATCTAGAAAACCACACAGAACAGATATAAAGTTTAATGAATTATTACAAGGGGAACACCTTTGTAAACCTCAAGCAAGTCAGGAAATAGAATTTGGCCAGCCACCCAGAAGGTATCAGTGTATCCCTATCCATTTACAACGTCCTTCCTTTTCCTAAAGTAAACACTCTCCTAACTTCTATCCTAATCACTTCCTTAAGTTTCTTTTCTAGTTTTAGACAATGTAGTTTAGACTTGAACATTTTTTCTTTTTTTTTTATTTTATTTTTTTATAGTTTTGTTTTTTTTTTAAGATTTTATTTATTTGCGAGAGAGAGAATGAGAGACAGCATGAGAGGGAGGAGGGTCAGAGGGAGAAGCAGACTCCCCGCCGAGCAGGGAGCCCGATGTGGGACTCGATCCCGGGACTCCGGGATCATGACCCGAGCCAAAGGCAGTCGCTTAACCAACTGAGCCACCCAGGCGCCCATAGACTTGAACATTTTATATGTCTTTTTTTTTTTTTAAGATTTTATTTATTTATTTGAGAGCGAGATACGAGCCAGGGGCGAGGGACAGAGGGAGAGGGAGAAGCAGACTCCCTGCTGAGCTGCGAGCCTGATGCAGGACTCAATCCCAGGACCCTGGGATCATGACCTGAGCCAAAGGCAGATGCTTAACCGACTGAGCCACCCAGGTGCCCCTATATATCTTTTTTAAATCTTTTATTGTGAGCAATTTCAAATACAGAAAAGCTTAATTCATTATATAGTAGACACTCATATACCCAGCACCTAGATTCTAAAATTTTTTTAGAGTTTTATTTAAGTACTCTGTATACGCAACATGGGGCTCGAATTCACAACCCCAAGATCAAGAGTTGCATGCTCTTCCAACTGAGCCAGCCAGGTGCCCCCAATTAGCATTTTAAAATATTTGATTTATCACATGTTTATCCATTTGTCTGTCCCTGTATCATTCATCCAAATAGTGCTGCATGTTCTCTTTTATTTCTTGAAAATTGGCAGATGGATCCAATGGCTTGATCAGATTCAAGTTTGATCTCTTTGGTGAGATAAGGTAGTGGTGTGTTCTTTCATCAAGAGGCAAATGATGTCTCCTTTTTAACAAATGGATTTATTATTTTAAAATTTTTATTTATTTGAGAAAGAGAAAATGGGGGGAGAGGGGGGAGTAGAGAGAGAGGGACAAGCTGACTCTGTGCTGAGTGTGGAGCCTGACGTGGGGCTCAATCCCATGACTCTGAGACCATGACCTGAGCTGAAACCAAGAGTCGGACACTTAACCAACTACACCACCCAGGCTCCCCCCCAAAATAGATTTATTATTTAGATCAGTTTTAGGCTCAAAGAAAAATTGAGAGGCAGGTACAGAGATTTTCCATGGTCCCCTTTCCCCACATATGCATAGCCTTCCTCATGATCATCTTCGCTCACCAGACTGT